TCATATTCTTCGTCCAGACTGAAGGGTTCCACACCAAGTGCCCAATTTGTCACCCGACTCGGACTCAGTTCATCGCAGATGAATGCATCCGATTGGCCGATTCAATGCGCAAGGGCGCCAGTCGCTCTTCGACCATGTTGCAGACTTCGTTCAGAGAGAAATGGCTATCTTCGTACTTCAATCGTCACTGACTAGGCTTGGGTATTCTACTCGACCGACGGGGCGGAGGAATGGCTTTTTCTGGGCGAGGATCGCCTCGTAGTCGAGCTTGTTGCCGCGCGACCACTGGTTTAGAAAAAGCTTATGGGTGAGCTGATGTCATCAGTTGCTCCTCGAAGTTGATCGGTCGATTGACTACCGGTCTCATGACCACGTCCAGATCTCTATCGTCAGCATCTTGTAGACTAAGCTGTCGCTCAGTGCGGTCCACGAGATCCTGTTGAGCCAGATCCAGCTGTGCGGTAATCGTGACCTCTTCTCCGTCATTAGCTGGCAAGAACTGACTTCGTAAAACACTATTGTGCGAGCAGTAATCGTTTCTCCTGTACCGTGATGCGGAATGTGTTCAAGGTACGCGTCATCTGTAGCGGCCAAGGCAAATACCATTTCGATCCTTGGAGTCAAGCTTCTTCATATTCTCCTTCTGCACTAAGACTTGCACCTTGTAGCCAAACACACGTAAGTTGCTGATGTCAGGAGGCATTTCAAGAAAGGCTTCCATTGGAGTCTTGCCATCCAATATCTTGGTCGGGCAGCGATTCCTGATGTACGCGGCACATACAATCGCGTCAGCCCAGTAGGCAGTTGGCAGGATTGCTTTAATCATCATCGAACGAGCCATCTCAACAATGACTCGATTGCCGCGCTCCACCTTTCCGTTTTGCTGAGGACGGTAGGGAGTTGAGAGCTCTTGCACAATCTGCAGTACGCAGCGAACTCACCACTCACGTACTCAGCAGCATTGACGGACTTAATGAACGCCACGCGGTGGCTCGGGCGTAGGCTTTAAGCTTAGCAGTCTTCTTACTGCGTCCAACTGTGCACGGAATTTTTTCTCTCGCAGCGGGTACGCCATTTCCAGATGAAAGGGTTCCACAACGATGTTTGCTAAGCCGGTGTAGCCTTCTCGAGCTGTCACTTGCATTGGGCCGACCTTTAGCACATGCTTCGGCTTGCAGTAAATGGCTTCTGATCGAGCTTTCCGCTTACACACGTATGGCACGACTGCGATATAGCTCCTTGACAGGGGACGTTCAGCTCTTCAAGTAATTGGTGCACGCTGAGTGAGTTGAGATGACCAAGTCGTTTATGTCAGGTCTCAATGTGCAGCGTTTTGGTCGTCATCAAGGCAATGTGCTCCACAGCTTCGCTAAAAGCGTTCACCACGTACATTGAATGCCCTTCACGAGACGCTACCAGCGCTACCCCACTCGGCGAGCGAATAATGCACGACGCGTCACTGAACTCGACTGTCATGCCGCGACGCGACGCAGCGGCAGCTGACACCAGATGGCGAGCGAGCCCCTCCACGAGCAGTACGTCTTGTAGAACACGTACTTCTCGTCCGTTCTTCACCAGTGGCACTTGACCGGCTGCCGTCGCCACCAAATTATCCCCCAATGCGACCGTCAGCACGCGAGGCTCTTCCTGTTCGTGCACATTGGTCATATTATCGAGATGCTCGGTCATGTGACTCGTGGCACCGCTATCGACAGCCCACCCTCTCTTGTTCTCTTCAGTCATGTCGTCCACAGTGAACGCCATGCTGGTGATTTCCGCTTTTTGCGAAACTCGCTTTTACTTGCAGTCGCGAGCGAAGTGTCCCATTTTGTCAGAGCTGTGGCGCTTTGCCTTGGACATGTCCCATTTCTTCGTGAGCTTGCTCCCTTTGTACTTGACCGTCTCATAATCTGCACTGAACGTAGCAGCCGTTTTGCCACTATTAGAACCAACCGCCGAACGCCGATTCTTCTGGTGCTCGCGGCGGATTGCCTCGGCTTGGCAGCGCTGGGTCATTAGCTTGAAAGTTCCACAGGATTCGAGTACTCCAACGATGCCATTCCACGCAGGTCCCAGACTCTGCATTAAATTCTGCTTCTTCTCGTCATCAGACAAGACTTCACGCTGCTCTTGCAGCTCGTCAATCACACGCCTCGTGTTCTTGATGGGGTCAACCATCGAGTCGTCACCATCTAGGTACAGACCGATGCGCTCCCGTTTAGCTGTTGGCACTGCACTTGACGTTGTAGGTCATCCGTAGATGGCGCAGCAAGGCCATAGGATGATCCAGTATGTGCACTTCAGCAGCGGTTTTCTCGTTCAACGCAGCAAGGATGATCGGTGAGGACATCTTCTGCTTGATCAGGAGGTCATGAAACGGTGTTGAAGTCTCCCCAACAATCGATCTAAGGTGTGCTACCACATCAGCCGCTGACGATTCCGATGCCGCACGCGTTGCAGAATCCTTCTCAGCCTGAAGCTCATAATCCGTAGGCGTGAGTAGCTGGATAGTATTCCACAGCCCCTTGATCTCCAGCACTAGCTTCACCTGGGCACCCCACGCTGGGTGCCCAGTGCTGCTGAACTGCTTCAGCTTTGTAGTGTAGCTCGAAGCCGTTGTCGAAGACATCATAACCTGCTGGGAAGGACTTGACAGAGGAAGGTGGCGAAGACCGAAGTTTGGTGGAGGAGGTTGGGCTCAGGAAGGTAAGCTGAAAAGTGAATAAACAGAGAGCGATGAAAAAGAAAAACATTGAGCTACTTGGATATATGTACTGCACTCAAGACGCTTCCTTCTGCGCACTTGCTCTCTGCAGCTTCGACCCACCCTGTCGAAGCTGTACCTCCAAGAGGACGGGGAGCAGCGCTACTGCAGCATGCCACTATTGCTGCCACCATCTTTGTCGTCAACACTTGTTACCTTAGCTGATACATCATACATTAACACTTGCGTTCGGCGTCGTCCGGCACCAACACTATTATTAATAAAAGTGCCGCCTCACTGCGCTCAGAAACAGTTTTTTTTTCTAGCCGCTAAATTTTTGGCTACAAGACACACCAACACGAAAAATGACATGCAGAAACTACCCCAACTCTCGTAAAGGAATACATCCGAAAAACGGAACCAAAGACACCCGATGGGCTTCTGTATACACATCGAAACACGCAAGATGTTGTCTCGCGCCTGAATGCATCTAAGGCCTCTATAGAAAAAGAAAACAACTAGAACAAAAAAGAAGGCCCACTCAGCACGCTTTTAAGATTGTTAGCTCAGTAGTTGCTGTATCAGCTCTTATCTGTAGACTGTTCTACCAGTTTTTTTGGCCAATCGGGGCTGCTGCTCAGCAGTCAATGAAAATGCTAAAAAATATAGTTTACAGTTGATATTTAGATACATTCAAATTTTGAAATAACATATGGTTGAGGACGAACAAGCCTTCCGGGTAGGACAGTCATCTTGCTTACAAAACAGGCCCAATTTTACTATCATCTTTAAATAAATATATCACACACAAGCCACTATTTTAAAAAGTTTTAGGTTCGATTACCGGCACATTCGGTGCTCCATGGAGATATTAATAGAGCTCCAACATACTAGTAATATTAACCAGGCCGCAGAACTAGAGAGTCCCTCTGGCTCTGCGGCCTCGTTCTCAAAGCAAATCAAGCTATCGCTTTTTCTTGTCTACCATTGTCCAACAAACTTAGAGCTTGGCAGGAAGTGCTTCTCGAGCGAAGCATAGCAATTTCGTTTGTCAGCAATCACTCAAGTGAAGTGCATTATGCCCCAGAACCAAGAACAAAACGTTGAAACAATATGTTATTACTTGAATGCGGACAAGTATGCGCTCAAAATTATGGAAGAGGGGGTCACTGCACTGCATGAGGGCGGCAACGAGGTTACTGAAACGCATGCGGACCAAGACGAAGAAACAAGCAGCGATGTGTACGTAGGAAGACCCGAGGTCTCAACACGACTCACATCCCTCCCAAAAATAGAGCCCCCCATTAAAATAGTAACCCGTTGTCAACAGTCAATAACGAGTGTCATTAGGTTGGTGTACTTACGAAGGGTAGAATTTACAGTATGCAATGTAAGTCTATCCGTCCCATCAGTTGGACGCAACAGCGAATGTCATACACCATTAGGACATTAGGATAGTCAGCGCGATGGACAGTGCTAACCAGTGACAGTAATGTGACTACAGTACAGTAATGTACCTCAATAGCGAACACCGCACATTCATTAAACGAAACGGTATATTGAATGGCTTCGTCGTGAAAGAACAAGGTGATGTATGTTGGTGTAACCTATACCGCCTTCTCTCAAACTTGCAACTGTTCTCTTCTCGCTAAAGCTATTGCAGGTCATATCCAGCACCGTACGTCATTAGATTGTCTGCGACTGCAAGCTAAATCGCTGGTTGTCTTTAAACCTTGGCCACCTTTTGAATCAAGAGTTTTGAACCACTTCCGAGGGACATTGCCAGAAGAGGCGCCAGGAATTTTTGTCTTACGGTCGTGAAGCAGTGACACTCCCATGAGGGGCGGATCACCCACCGGGTGCCCGGCACCGTGCCGATTGGCACCTTTGTTCTATCTTCTTCCATTGGAAGTTCCAATGCCCGCGTCATCACCCCGGAAAATTAGTCCGAAATGCACCAACAGATCGTGCTCGTGGCCAGGTTGCCATCGACGGACGTGAGCCAAGCGCCGTGCCGGACCGATCGTCACCGGCAGGCACCAGACGCGAGGTGGATGTGCCGTTTGGACCTAACGCTACCATTTTTTTACAGTGTGCCGTTCCTTGTTAAGTTGCTGCAATATGTCAAATGTTGCCGATCGCGTGCCAAAACCATTTCTTTCGAATTCGGCACCGGGCAATAGGAATTCCAGCGACGCTAGAAGTGTCTGGGCGGCCAGGCACAGAGGCCAGTGGCGGCTGCAAGATGACGCTTTCATGAAGTTGCATCCACGAACGCTCACAACCAAATTGGCCGCACAGAGCTCACAAGTCAACAGCTCGCATCAGCAATGCCGCTATCAACGCTGTTCGCCGAGCGTTTTCGCCTACGTCGTCCTCTGAGTGACGCACTCTATGGACCTGTGGGTCTCTACGAGGACGCAGAGTGCGGCGAAATTGTGGCTATCAAGCAGGTGTCACTCACGCGTGCAGTGGCGGCGCTGCGTCGTAACCCCAACGTGGACAACCCCTGGAGCGAGCACAAGGTGGTCTCTCGCCTCATGACACTGCCGCCGCACACCAATGTCGTGCATTTCCGCGGCGAGTTTCTAAACGCACAGGGTACCTGGTGCGTTGTCATGGAGTTCTGTGCAGGCGGCGACCTGTGGGACCTATTAGAGCGAGCACCCAAGAACCGCCTGCCCGAGATCGATGCACGCCACCTCTTTCGCCAGTGCGTGCGTGGTGTGCAGTTCTTGCACTCGCACGGTATTGCGCATCGTGACCTGTCGCTCGAGAACGTCTTCTACTGTCGCGGCGTGTGTAAGATCGGCGACTTCGGGCTCAGCACGGACTCGCCGTTAAGAGGAATTGGTGAGGGTGTAGGCAAGGCTTACTACATGGCGCCCGAGGTGGTCAACCAAGAGGCGTACGATGCCTTCGCAGCCGACATGTGGTCGCTCGGCATCATGTTTTTCATCATGCTCACGGGCTCGCCGCTCACGACAAATGCATGGCGCGACAATAAGGCCTTTGTCGCTTTCTGCGAGCTGGGCGTGGCGAAGGTCATTGATTCGTGGGGACTCTCGGATCGGATATCTGCCGAGACAGTTGGGCTGCTGGACAAGCTGCTCAGACTGAACCCGGTCGAGCGGCCTACGGCTCTCCGGCTTCTCGAGTACCTGGAGGCGACGACACCGACAGTCGGTCAGCGATAGTGTACACATACTGTACATGTAGACGAATAAAGTGACACGTTTTTAATTTTATGGACGACGATGTAGAGCAGAAGTTTGTAGCGCAATGCAACCGAGGCATCAAGAGTGCCGCATCTGATAGCGTGGGCGTAGAACAGTATACAGTTAAGAGATGCCACAGCAGCTACTGAGCTACTGAGCTAATAATCTTAAAAGCGTGCTGAGTGTGTCACGGTGTATATTATAACAATCTAGCAGAAGGTTAAAATGGTTGTTGGCAGCTTGGTATTAATAACTCATGAGGTAAGCGTATGATACACAGAGATAGAATATTTTCAATGTTTATCAAACATAAACATCGTCGTGCGATGTAATGGACTTACGACAGCGAAACAAGTGAAAGCTAAAGGGGCATTTGCTGTCGCAACTTTGTGGGAAAGGCGCAACATAATTCCTTCAAGCCGCAACATACGTGTCATCCGACCTTAGATCTTTACCCCACCCTCTTGCATATCCTGCATGATTGCATATCTTACGACAGAGAAGTTTACCCGCAACATGTTGTCGTTGTTGCGCCGTGTCAGTGCGCGCTCCCCCCACGGTCCTCCCAATATATTCAAGTCCTCAATAACCCGTAGCAGTCAACGCCCGTCCTCTAGCTCCTTTCCGCTCTGGAACCGCCTCGCATGTCGCTCGCTCACCTCGTTAACACCCGACAAACCGTCACCAGAGCTGCCGACACTACACGGGAAGGACCTCTTAAGTCTCGTATCCAGAGCGAGAGACTCGCACCCTTTGGACTGGTCGGAGGGTCCGGGGGTTGCCGAGGAGACGGAGCAATGGGACCTCATGGACCCACACTACGACCTCACCACAGCCAAACTAACGAAGCTCTTCTCGCTCTTCCAACCCAATGGTAAGAGGCGGAGACTTATCGCAGCTTTTTACTAATTTAATCGTAATTGCAGAGCACGGGATGGTGTCGTACGACGGGTTTCGACGGGGTCTACAAGCTATGGGTATCTCGTGTGAGAACGAGAGCGAGTTCATGGCCTTTATCGGCCAAGTAGACGACGATAAGAGCGGAGGAATCACGTACGAGGAGTTTCTGTATGCAATTCAGGAGATCAAGTTAGCACAGCTCTTTAGCCCGGACTTCGTCCAGCCTTTAAACCGAGAGTACCGTAAGATGTACGGCTCCGACGTCCCAGTTGCGCGACTGGGATCAATCGAGTACTCACCTGATCGAATCAGAAGTGCGTATCCGATTGAAGGGGTGGAGAAGTTTTTGTACTCGAAAAGACCCAATTGGGCGAGTGTCCGATGGATTAATGTAGAGGGAGCAGACCCTTTGATGATGAGGAGGCTGGCGGTACGGTACCGACTGCATCCACTCGCAGTCGAGGATACGCTGGATTCCGATCTGGAACGACCAAAGTACGAACATTACGACGAACACTCTTCGTTGATCCTTCAAACAATCCACGCGCGTGATCTAGAAAAGGCCTTGGAGTATCAGAGCATGTATCGCTTTTCATTGTATGTTCGAGATAACAAGGTCTCACCGTTTGAAAGTATGAGTAAGGCTGAGCTGGAAAAAAGACTCGACGACTTGGCCATGGGACGTATCATGGCTCCACCGGAACAATTGAGTTTGTATATAATGGAGAACGTGGTTATAAGTGTGCAAGAGTCGGCGAGCACGTTGTGGCCGACGTTAAAGCAGCGACTACACACGTCATACTCTAAGGTTCGCCACAGCGGAACAGCGTTCTTGGTCTATTCCATAGTGGACGTGTGTGTGGACGAACTGTCACCTATCGCACACACGCATGGAGCCAAAGTTGCCATGTTGTCTCGACTTCTACGTCACGATCCACGTAACTTTAAAGTCGATCGTCTAGCGCAATGCTCCAAGGAAATTAAGGGATTGAAGCTATTGTGCAAACCACTGCGTGAAATGATCACGCAACTCATAGAATCAAGCGACTTTGAAGGCGAGACATTGCGGTACTTTCGAGACGTGCAAGATCACGTGACTGTTATCGACGAGACTTGCGACCGACTTCTGGATCGATGTCAGAGCCTAGTGAACGACTACCATAATGCACGACATGCCCAACAGAACGAAGTGAGCTACACATTGACACTTGTGGCAACTGTATTCCTACCGGCGCAGTTCCTAACTGGTCTGTATGGTATGAACTTCGTGAATATGCCAGAGCTGCAGTTAGAGCACGGATACATGATCTGGTGGGGCGTCGTGTCGACAATTGCCACGGGAACGATTACGTACTTTAAGTTCTACAAGAAGTGGCTCTAGGTAATTGCGAAGAATAGCAGATCCTGCAAGTTGCGCTTAACACGGACAAGTAAAGTGGCCCTTGATAGAATAGAATCCGCTTTGCCGTGAAAATGGATGCATTTTACTGTACCTGACGAGCTTGAGATATGGTATTGAGAGAAAATTAGACAGAGAACCCACTCTACATACCTTCCGAGATACTTATTAATACTTCATTACTTTGTTCTGTAGTACCAATATAGTATTGGATCTTCGACAGTTTATTTTGTCGGAACTACATGTAATCCTTACTTGGAAGTATTGTTTCTATAAATGAGACGGCTCGATCGTCACTTTCGTTGTCTTTGTTTTTAGGCTTTCACTGACAGTTTTTTTTTTTCAACATGTAAAGGACCAGCTCTGTGACTGACGGGATAAAGGCCCTTTGACTGAATAATAGGGTCAGCAAAATAGCCGACTAAATTTTATATGGTGGTGGTAGCACAATGCCGTGCTGGCGCCCAAAAAAGCTCTGGATTTACGCCTGCGAAAGCGAAAATGATAAGCTTATGCTCTACAACGTTGCTTTATAACAATATTTTCATATGGCTCGGTGTGACCAAGTACTAACTAAAGATGGCATCGAAAGCCATTGAACAATCCAGTAAGTTGCGGGGCGATTTCCGTGGGATGCAACAAGCCACCAGTCTAAATGCTCGACTTGGGTGTCGATCCAGCATCTTTCCACTGAGCGTCTCAGTAGTAACGGCGACGACTTCGATACAAAGCCCTGAAGGAGGCCTGGCGAGGTCGAGTGTGTAATATATGGGATATTTCATCATCGCGAGCCCGTCCGAAAGTCTCCGAAGGTGTCCGTTATGCTTCAGTGTGCGTTACATTAGTCTATGATCACTGAACTGGACAAGTCGCTCGTGGGCCATGGACCCCCCCCCCGTCAGCTTGAAGGGTGCATTTGATGGATCCCGTTACGTGCTTGGGATTTGCAACGTCCGTGGCTGTTTCGAGCTAATAACTGCTCCATCGCGAGAGTCTCGGGAGTCTTTTTCGGCCGTTATTACTGAATTTGCCGCCTCACATCTGCCCGATTTTCGGGGTCGTTCGCCAAACCGATTCGCTTCTGTAAGCAGCATGAGCTCGAACAGTAAGAGCAAAGTCATTCGATGTGTTGCATCAAGGGACCGCCCGAAGAGTACGGAGAACAGGCGAGTGGTGCGACAGGAGGTTTTGTGTACAGGGAGTCTCCGTGTTCGCTCGTGCAAATTACTGTGGAAGCCAGCAGCTCTCCAATTGATGGTCACTACAACTAGTAGTTTAGACGAAGATGAAGCGCATTTTGATGATTGTGACGACGACTCGGATGACTCGGACGATAATGATGTCGATACGGTGACTACGATGGCTCAGCCGAACGAGACGCATCACTACACGCTTGTTTGTTGTCATCGATCGCTCATGGGCTATGCACGTCGAGAGAAGATCGAGTTGGAAAGTATTCGAGATCCCGTCGAGTTTATTTGGGGGGAAGACGGTTTACTAAGCACCCGATTTGAGTTTAGCATCGTGTACGGGAGTGTTGGTCCATCTGGGCGTCGTCGGACTCTCACCTGTCGTGCTAGAGACGCAAAGGAGTATCTGCAGTGGACAGAGGCTTTACGCATGTGTATGGAATCCCAAGGGAAGAACAAGGGAAATAAGGGCGTCAAGATGAACTGCTGCACTCCTTCGAGCACCTTAACGTCGTCAAAAGCTCCGTCTATTGATTCGTTCTTTGACACAGATGTGGTCGAGGAAGCTCGTAAACGACCACCCACACCCACGTCACCTACTGTCGCTACAGCCATTAAAGCTATCGCGCCTCCCGAGGCGAATGTCGTTGAGGAATCCGCACTTAAGCCTGTTCCAGCAGACATTGCCGCAGTGTATGGAGTAAGTCCAAGACAAGTCAGTGTTGTAGTAAAGCCAGGTCCAAGACAAGTAGGGACTCGCCTGCAACGGCGTCCTGTGAGCATCACAAAGCCTGCAATGAGGCGCAGTGTCTCTAGATCAACTAAACCCATCGACCCACTATCCTCTTCCAGCACTCTACACGAGGTGACAGTAGCTCGAACTATTAATAGTAGCGCAGGGCGCCTACGGACTCGTGTGAGGAAGATTAGTCTCTCTGAATCTAACCGCAGATCCAAGCGGAACCGAATGCGCGTCTCGCCAACCTCCAGGCCAGAAGTGAAGCGCTCACGCGTACCAGGTTCCCCTGTCCCGGTGCTTGGAGCATTGTCCTTGCAACAGTCTCCATCATCACTCGCCGAGTCCTCGATGGACTACGTCGGTTCGAGAAACGAGCGCTCGAATATCGAAAGTGTACGCACTATTAATACCAACTACGTGAACTCTCTCAACGCATCTTCCAGGCAGCGACAGCAGCTGCTTCTAAAGGAGAATGACAAGAGCTACATCGTCCCGTTAAAGTCCGAGAAGATGGAGGACGCATGGCTGCGGTCACGCGACAGCTCCCGCCTCAACTTGGACGCATGCGACTTTGAGGACATGCAATCTGCTCGTTCCACTAGAAGACGAGCGCAGAAAGCGTCCTGGGCTGCCTATCTGAAGGCCATGGAGTGCGAGTTGTAAGAATGTAGCCATGTTGTTCTAAACAACAGCAACAATTCATTATGTGTAGCACACCATCTTTTCTTGTGTCGCCATTTTGCAGTCATGAAGATAAATGTGTACGTTGCGGTGGAAGGTGGTGGCGCTGCACGTCGAATCTGCTGGTACATGGGTACATCGGATACCCAAGTGGAGAAGGCAATACGTATACAGCTGCGTCTGCCACGAGAGACAGAGTTCCTATTACGAGACGCTGACGGCGACATGGTGCCGGTGTCCTCGACGTTGCCCAATGGCCAACACTACACGGTGGTAATACACGAAGATGGCTACACCACGAGCAATGCAAATACCGCGACTACCAGTATTATCAGACCGATCATGTCAGTAAATGATGATGAAATGGATACAGTCATATCACCACCAAGTCCCAAGAGGAGGAGGCTAGAGACGGATGACGACGCTGTTACTCCCCCATCGCCTGCATCTCCTCTCGTCGATCCCGTTTCTGCCATCACCCCACCTATTCGTCGTGTGTCTGCACCGCACCGACCAGTTGCGACAATTATTGCACAGTTTGTCGATACCTTCACTCGCCCCATTGCCAACGAGGACAATATGAACTTCATACCGAACGCTGGTCCCTTCGCACTGTACGAGCTGTACTGCAAGGTGGTGCTAGATAAAAAATTTCATCCAAAACGTGAAGACGTTTTCTACAAGATGACATCTTTGCATTGCAAAGTAGATCGTCAGCGTGTAAACCGGTATTACCAGTGTCCAGTGGAGAATGGACAAGGCACGATGTATGTGCAATTCAAACCACAGGGTAAAGGGGTATTACTACGGAGATACCGCAAATTGGGACATGCGGAGGAGCTGGAAGACGTGGTGAAGGCGGCACCGTTCGTCTTGTGGCTTGGACTAGATCCGAATGAAGTGGTGGCCTTATACACGCGCTTCCTGGAAGGTTTCGTGCCGATTACCAAAAGAACGTTTCGAGTGGAAAACGGTAATGCGTTTACTGGTACTCAGCAAGGCCAGCAGGATCAAGCACCGACAGGTATCATACCGGTAGAAGAGTAGTAATTTCTGGATGCAAGGGGTGAAGATTCTTTAGTTTGATAAGCTCCTTGCTGTGTCTTTTCTACAATTCATCCTTCTCGTCAATCGATTCCTTCTCCTCTGTCTCCTTGACCTCGGATTCAGTCTCCGTGTCGACATCTTTCGAGGTCTCTTGCTCAGTCTTAGCGTCACCCTTGGACTCTTCCTCTTCGGTGTCGTTCTTGTCGATCTTGACTGGTTGCGGCTTCGGTCGCTTGGCTAGGACAGCGACAAACTTCTTCACTCCCTGGACCTTCTTGGCGACATCCGCCGACGTCACCACCGGCTTCTCGTGCTTGGGTGCAGCCTTCTGCGACGTCTCGGACTCCGTCAGCCACGCTTCCAGTTCGCCAAGCTTCTCTACGACGTCACTACGCTCGTCATCCGTCACCTGCGGCTTGCTCGTGCTCCACTCGTTCATGAGCTCCCGCGTGCTGAAGGCGTACTCCTGCGCAGTGTTGATGGCGATCGGCAGCTCCTTCATCTCCGCCACTCGGAAGAGGATGGCGCTGAGGTCCGAGTCCAACGCGTCCATCTTCTTCTTGTACTCAGCAGCCCCCACCTTGTCGCCGTCATCGTACAGCCACTCCTCCGTCTCGTCCAGTTTCGTCTTGAGCGACTCAATCTGCTCGGGCACCGTAACCAGCTTCATGTCGCTCTCCTGGGCGGACAGCGCGTCGTGCGCCTTGTAGATGAACGTCTCGAGGCTGTTCTTGGCCTCCAAGTCGGCGCGACGTTTGTTGTCGGCCTTCTCCATCTCGTTCAGCATCCGCATCGACTCCTTCTTGACCGTCTCGCTCATAGGCATCACACTCGTGTCCTTTTCCGGCTCACGCGTCTCGTGGGCTCGCACGACCGTCAACTTCTCACGATGCGTCTCGACCTGCTTCTCCATCCTCGTCTCGGGCTTCTCCTCGGCTTCCTCCTCGTCGCCAGCCGCGCTACTGTCAGCACTCTCGTCCTTCTTCGTCTTCTTACTCTTCTTGTCCTTCTTCACGACCACTTCCACTTCAACCTCCTCTTCCAGCGTGGCCTCCGCCTTCGCAATCTGAGCAATACCATTGCTGTCCAGCTCAAACGAGAGCGTCACCTTCGGCTCGCCCAACTTCTTGTCAGCCATGCGAGCAGCAAACTTCTCCACGCCTGTGACGTTCCACTTGGCGATCTGGACACTCACACCCGCCGGCAGCATCGACGGCTTGTCGTAGCGGAAGGTACACGAAATGTCAGTGGAGTGCGAGAACGACACGGACTTACGAAGACCAAGACGGTGCGACTCGGAGAACAGCGCCGCTCGCTTCATCCACTGCTTGGTCTCCACCTCATCATCGTTGTTGCTGTCCGAGGACTCTGTAGCCGACAAGTCGACGAGACGCACACCGATCGGGTATGACGCAATGTCCGTCATCCCCACTTGACGCACTCGGAAGGAATTACTCAAGTTAGCTGCACGGAACGCGGCACCCAGAGCCATAGCCTCGTCTCCATTGAGGTGCACACCCAGATCCTTGCCGTCAAAGAACTCGGAGAGCTGCTGCTGGATCTTGGGCATACGCACACCGCCACCGATGATCTCAACCTCGTCGATATCGGCAGCAGTCAGGCCAGCCTTCTCCAGAGCCACCTCCACAGGCTTCAAAGTGCGTTCGAACAGGTCCGAAGAGAGCTCCTCGAGCTTGGATCGAGTCATGGACGTGAAGAAGTCAATGTCGTTGTACAAACTTTGCATGACCACGGGGATCTCCTCATTGGCCGAGAGAACCGTCTTGGTCTTCTTGGCTAGAGCGCGGATCTTGGCCATCGGACGGGCGACTTTACGGATATCTTCACCGATTTTGTCACTAAACTCCTTGGCCAGGTGCTCAGCCAGACGCAAGTCGAACTTGGCACCACCCAGAGACTCATCCCACGCATTGCTGATCGTCTGGAAGGTCGAGATCGTCTTGTTCTTCTTAAAGCCATCGGGCACCACTTGACTAGAGAACTCGGCAATACTCACTTGCAATGAAGTGGATCCCATATTAAAGAACAAAATCTTCTTGGGCTTGTCCTCAGGGTCATAGCTTGCGTGTACAGCCAGTTGCAGAGCCGCAGCCGTGTTCTCATTAATCAGAGACAGGACACGAACTCCCGAGATCTCGGCGGCATCAAGCATTGCCTGACGCTGCGCCTGCGAGAAGAAAGTAGGCACTGTAAGCACCCAGTCCTTAACAGGCGCCTCCGCGAACGTGTCGGTGATCTGACGCGCGTGAGTGAAGACCATGGCCACTAGCTCCTCGGCATGATAAGTCTGCTCCTTGCCGTGCTTTAGCGAGATAGTGCCACCGCGAGTGGCGTTCTGAATGAGCTCATAAGGGAAGTGCTCCTCGTCCAGTAAGGAAGAGACCTGTGGGTCGCTCAGTGTCGTGCCTAGTAGGCGGCGGATCTGTGCGTACGCTGTCTGTGGCCTACGCACACCCACAGTGGCAGCATCAGCGCCGTAGAGACGCTCATCACCGTCAAAAGCAACCATCGTCTCGGTTTTGCGCTTGCTGTGTACGTTAGTGACGATCTCGAAAGGTGTACCGGGCTTGACGAGCGCCACCTTGAAGAACTCACCACCAAAGTCCACGCCGGCCACGATGGCCTCCACCATCGAGGTGGCCAGCAGGCCGGCGCCCAATAGCGAGAGCAGTAGCAACCTCACAGTCTTCATACTTTCGGAGGAAAGAGTGATGGTCTTGTTTCCTATTGATGCCGAATGCGGAATGCGGCGAGGATACTGTATCGGAACGAGCAACTATTGCAACGGCCGACACGTGGCTCTGTGGCATAGTGAATGCAAATGGATTGGATTTCAACCAATAGGAGCAAGGGTGACGTGGCGAGATGCTTTTCACTGTTGACGTAGAAGTTCTACAGAGCGGCCGTTATTGTAATTAAATTTTTTAAAACAAAGCTTTAATTATAAGCTGCGCTTTCGCACGGAACAGCTCTGGACTTTATGCGGCTACTACCAACATGTTCTTCGCCAATGGATGATGGTAAAACGGTATCTTTGCGCTAAAGTAGCGAGTAATTTGTCGAATAGAGTAATTAGACCTGATGCCGTGCGTTGCCCGGGAAGCCAAGTCTTACTTAATAGACGTTTTTTTGTTTGAATTTCAATAGGAACTTGGGACTTTATGCAGTTGTTTCCCCCACTAAGTTTCTTCGATCTTGTGCAAAACTTGGATGTCGTCTGGACCAGCATTCACCCATTCTGGGATAATGATGAATATACTTAACTGTACTTGTCTTTCCGTGTTTGATAGGAAAGGTATTAGGAATATTATCCCATGATAAATCTAGAACAATCTGTTCCAGCTAATATTATTTGGTGTAGGGGCTTTAGGCTTCGACACATTTCGATAATTAATAAAATTTGTCGGAACCAGTGACGAAATGTATATGCCTTTACAATAGTCAGTTTAAAAATATATTTGCTATGTATTTCTGCAGTTCAGACATCTAGGCGATCATAAACTAGGAATCCAGTTTACGCGATAATAATAAATCCCCACACTGTTCAAACAGCTAAGAAAGGCAGAGAGATCTGGTGAGCCTACCGTCTTACCGCGCACCAGCCGCCTAGGCGCTGAAAACGAGAGCATATATTTTCATTGGCGCGAAGTGCCCTCAATTTGAACGCATGGTTTAATAGAACGAACCCCTAAAATGTAACCAGGTGTTGCGGGAAAAGCGCCAGCGCCAACCATTCTTAGCAGCCTCTTTACAGTCTTTCTTGCTACCCTAAAACCAAGCTTGACCGCTCGTAACTTCCATCGCCATTCTCCAAAAGACCTTCTCCTACAACGGTCCACAATGTTGGCCGAAAAAAAAAACGCGCCAGCTACAGTCTTCAGTTCAAATTCAACGTCGCTCGTGAGTACAAGCCTAATAAAAACGGTTGCGGATACCACGCGCTTTCTAAAAAAAAGTACAAATTTTCGCCGTCCATGGTACGCGACTGGGTCAAAAACCTCGACAAACTACAGCAAGTATCGAAAGACCGCCAAGTCGGCACACGCCTGGCATGCCGAATGTCCGGAGCTGGGCGTAAAGCAGAGCACCACGACCTAGAGAAGCAGCTTCACGGCTGGATAGCCAGCCGAAATACAAGGGGTTTGCTGGTCAAAGACAAATACATTCGACTTCATGCACTGAATATCTATCGCTCCATGAGCAGCGATGGAGACGCGCAACGTCAGCCTTTTGCCGCTTCTTCGGGGTGGCTCGACCGCTTTAAGCAGAGGTACAATCTCGTGTCACGGCGGCATACCACAACAAGGACGCTTCCAAGCGACGCGAAAAAAGTATGTCTGGAGTTTATTTTAAACGCACAGAAAATTATCAGAAAACACAACATTCAGCCACAAAATATTATAAACATGAATCAAGTCCCGAGGTATTTTGAAACAGAGCCAAAACACACAATTACTACTCGAGGTACCAGATAAGTCCTTCGTCGAAAAGGCGGCAGCAGCCACAAACGATTTACTGCCACGTTCGCAATTACTGGTGAGGGAAAGTTTCTGGCGCCACATGTCCTCTTCTCAAAACTTAAAAGAAAACCAGTTGTCCCAGAGGGCGTTCTTGTTGATGTCAACCCCACTGGAATGTGGAATGACACAATTCTTCTCGATCACGCCAAAGCAGTTATTTGCAAAAGAAAGGAAACACAGTTTTATCGACAACCAGTTTACGCTTGTCACGCTACGCTGTTTAACGAGAAGCTACTACAGAGCTACAACATCTTCGTTTTACTGGTGCCACCGAATTTAACCAATCTGCTGCAGCCCTGGATGTCGCGGTCAACCGTAGTTTTCAGACTTAGTACACTAACAAGTTAGACGAGTACATCGGTCGAGCACTAGACGACAAGAGCCTTCAAACAAAAGCAGGAAACCCAAAATAACCACACTACTGTGTAGTGTCCCAGTGGGTGCTGGACTGGATATCTACCAAGGAACCGGGCGAGATCAAGAAGACTTTTAGGGTGTGCGGCCTTGTGCCAAGTTCTGAGTTCGACAAAGAGGATCTACATCCTCCGCTGAAGGAGCTCCTCTTTTCAAGCATCGACATGAATCAGTGGCATTTCCGCTATCAGCACCTGATCGACGGTGAAAGACAGCGACAGAGAGGAGATATGTCTCCAACCACCAGCTTGGTATCTGCCAGAAGACTGCAGTTCAAGCCTGTTTTGCTGTCTACGGCACTCACTAGCGAGTACTGTAGCTGATTACGCCAGTGTCCGGACGAGCTACATGCATGAACTGGGTGAGCTGGAAGGGTTGTTTGACGACGACTACGTAAACTCAATTCGTAACAGAGATAAGGACGGAAGCGAGCTTGAACGTTTCGCCGCATCTCGACTGCATAATTGCAACATTCAGGTAAAAACACCCGATGATGAGTGCAAGGTCATATCTACGTATACATACACCCTTGCTGATGCTTCGAGAACGGTTTGGATTGCTCGACTTGGCTTCTACTTTGCGTTGAAGGTGGATGGCATGGACGTTTAAACTTTAATGAATATCTGCTTTAATTTTCTTCTGGTTTTAGTAAACGCACTACAATAGAGCGCCTACTCGTTCCATAGAAATACAGCGTCCACTGGGCTGTCTATTGTAATTGTACGCCTAGGCGGCTGGTGCGCGGTAAGACGGTAGCCGCTTTCGTGCCTACGAACACGCAGAAGGCGTGCACCATCGCGATTGTCGCATTTAAGCGGATGCTGGAGGAGAAGGATGTTAGTATGGACTTTGTCCACGCAAGCATCCGCCTGGACACCTCCGGCAAACGGTTAGCTGCGACAATGGGTCGCTTCGGCCTCTATCTTGCCACGAACGATGGTAACAAAGGTAAGTTTGCACGTAATACGGCGACTTCATACCATAAAAATGTGAAGCTATGGCTATTTGACAGGTATCCAAACTTTCGTGTGTGCTGCTTTTAAATGTATTCCAAGTCGGGCGACCGACCAAAGCAGTGCCACATCAGGCACGCTAGCGCAGCGTCTTGGTAGTCACCATGCACACATGCTGTGTTGTATACATAACGGATTAGAGCCAATGAGGAGCCTTATTAATCAAGCCACTCTTTTCTCTTTTCCTGCAATGTTTGTCTAGCGTCTCGCCATGCTTGAACAGTATCAATTCAGTAGGCAGTATCTGCGGATGGTACCTTGTAACTTCGAATCCTGCGCGTCAAAATCTCCGAAGAACAGGGACTCACCTTAATCTCGGACAAGAACGGTTTCTTGGTGTGTCTCTTGCACGCTCTTGCTGTGGCGCTGGCAACTCAAGACGCTCCGTGCGTGGCACCGCTTGATCTGCTGCTCGAGCTGGTTACCGGAGAGTCTATAAACCTCGACATAGGTGACCCACGGCACGATATTGTTGCCGCTGATCCAACATTCCTACAGGTAGGCGTGGTGACAACAAGGATCCCTGCCACTAATGTGGAGACCACATCTGCATCGTGTGTCGCGCCCCGCTGCGCTACTGAGACCGCCCTGTTATCTACAAATGCAGACAGGCAAGAACCAACAAAGACCAATTCAAGTACCAAGCGCGGAGGAGACGGCGTACATGCGTACGTGAACCGAACCTGTTGGTGCTACCTCCACATTGATGTCGCATTATTTTAGACGCGGCGAAGCCGAGAATGCAAACGATGACGACCGGCTAGCTTCCCGGTGGATCTTTGACCGCGATGCGTGGGATATGACGAAGACCAGCAAAGCCTTCGCTTACATCTCCAACATGGCACGCGAAGACAGGAAGGTGGATCGTGTAGTGAGTGGATGGGGAGCGGACGAGTTGCTCACATTTTTTTATATCACAGCAATAGATCATGCAAGTCGGAAGCGACTTGGGGGTCTGCAGATGTTTCTGCTCAGTGTCTGTACTGATCTAAAGCAACAACGACCCAACGTTAACATCAAGGCCCTCAGCGTCCTCACTGCGTATCCCATCTGTTTTAATCCGCAGACGAAGGATCTAGCACTAATGCCCCCAATCATCACGCGCGTTGAAGACAATTTAGCTGCGGCTGATATTCCGCTCGCTCACATGATCGCATGGTCGGTGGATCTGAGCCAAGAATCGGTGCAACCCGCTCAAGAGAAAGAAGAGAAGCAGCACTCTTGTCCAGCATTGAACCGTCTTCTCTCTGTCGTTCAACACCATCACATCGAACAAGGCACTTGCTGCACGGTTGACTATCGTCGAATCTTCGCTAATCAACCCTAATAAAGCGCAAGAGCCTACTGAAGATGAGCAAGTACAAGTCACATCAGATCAAGATCTTAAACCTGAGCTAGGAAAAAGCAAGTAACTTACCTTTCGTCCGCGTGGTATGAATGGTGCGTGGGTGGGAATTGAGTGATCGCCACAAGAAGTCCAAGTCTCGCCATGTCACGTCGCCTTCATGGAGCTCTTTCTCGACGACGGTTTTGTGCTCGATGCCAAGGCGGAGGATTTTAAAAATCAAGTCTTCGACGCCGGCCGCCACGCTGAAAATGCCACACTTGAGCTCATAAAGTAAAAATATATTAAGGCCAAGGGAGCGGGTAGTGTATTGCGTGCGCTGCGACCTCTACACAAATCGGGGGCCCTCGACGAGCGAATCGCTGCCTATAAACAGCTTATCGCAAATGGACGGACTCAAGACCCAGCCCCTGGAGAAACCCAGGATATGTTAGCCTTAGCTGGACTGCCGTGAATACATGTACTAAATGTGTAGTAAACGCAAAAGCTCTGTCTGTGGAATATAGCCGAAATACCTATACCCGAAACTGCTAACACTCGATTGTACCCGAAATACTAACAGTCGAGTATACTCGAAACGCCCTTTCGCCGAATTTAGCTGAAATTTCGAGAGGCAAAGAGTAGCTGGAGGTCGAGGATACTGAGCCTTTTTTAGGCAGGGTCCGGTTTATCCGATGGCCTTCCAAATGCAGAATGAAGGGTGGCGAAGTTTGGTCTCACTGATTTGTTGATAGCTAATGATACATTTTAGCCAATTAAACCTCGCCTTCTGTGGAATTTGCCTGAAATACGTCATTTCAAAATTTGACGAGATGGCAGACTCTACAGCACAACAATGCAGTGAATATCGAGGTTCTGCTAAAGTGTGATGGGATGCTGGGATGCCACGAAAGGGTCCCGACAGCTTGGTATACAGCGCACAGCCTTGCACGGCAGGATGTCGACCAGAATAGAAACTTTCTCGGCGGCGGCCGACCTATCGCTATAGCTCATTAAACCCCTGATGTGGCCGCGACAACACTGTCCTAAGATTTTAATATTGTTGAGCGCATCAATCAAAAAGTGACAGACGGCGAGGAAGTCTACCGGAGCGACGATATTGCGGATGCTGCTGTGACTATTCCGGGGTTTTGTGAGCGTGATCCCGTGGCGCAAAGCTCACGGGCGACCAGTTTCATCAAGCGTCACAAACTAAATAGCCTCATTTCGCTTTTCTCCAATATGATAAAGAGGAGAAGAGAGTAGCCTGCGTCGCCGATGTCCAGTTAGACCGAAAACCTCAAGGAGGTGGTGTCGAGCTTAACCGAAAGCCTCAAGAAAGCGGTGTCGAGTTTGGCAACAATTTGTTTTTACCCGAGATTATTTCTCCGAGTAAAGATGAATGCAATGATGGCGGTATTGGGTACGGCTATGACACACAGAGCGCAAGAGCCCGGAAACCAGACCAAGCGTTGTCGATGGTAACCTCCTACATTTTTACTACTTTAAAATGTACTGTCTTGGAGATGCACATCACAGCCGCATGCCTATCTGCATCCCGATGGATCCGCTAGCAGCCTTTACAAGAGCTGAATACTGGGCAGGTTGGGTTGGGCCTTTACATGCATAACAGCTGATGAATACATCGCCTATGCTTTTTTCATTCACTTTAATCCACGGCTAGAGCACATTTCGGCGTGTGTACCAAGCTAGAAGACGGCCGATCTCCATCACTTTCGCACGAGGTCGCGTGAGATCTCCGCGCAGTATATGGAGAAGTATATCGTTTGTTTTAAGCGTGTCATACTGTGTGGTCTTCTGAAGTTCTATTTGACACAAGATGCCCAAGGTCGATGCGATGAAGAGCGTCGCTAACATGGTCAATAGGTTCAACACTGGTGTTATGAGTCTGCAAGCACATGTTTACGCGGTTTGACGAGGTGCATAACTACATGCTTCGTTAGAACTACATGCGTCGTCAGTGATTCCGCAAGTGTGACGTATTGTTTGGCAAGTGCATGGAGCTCGATGCCATTCTAAGAGCTTTGGAGGCTTCGACAACAGCGTGAGCTTTAAGCCGTACATGACTGCTAGCTTTAATAACTGTGGTGAATGACTTGGACTTGTCGGCTACCTGCTAGCATTTGTATATGCTCGCTCGCCTCTTCGCTACGGCGCTGAATGATCGTCGTGTCGACGCTTCGAGGTTGCAGGACCTGGAGGAAGTGGAGAACGAGTGTGTCTCGTCGAATATCGTTATCCAAGTTCATCGTCAAGCTGTCGGAGCGTCTACCTGACATTTTCGTGCTGCACTACGCCCACGTGCGAGAGTTCCCGAAGTCGGCACTTTGTGATAGGGCGGAAGGTTTTCATTCAGATGCCGTGTCGGTATTCAGAGGACAGCGACCGTGATGACGAAGCCTTCTTCGTTTATGAGCCTCCGGCCAAAACCGCCAAAGCTTGGAGCATAGTTCGCCGTTAGATGTAAAGTCCGAGCGCGAGCGGAGAAAACTGATGTAGACCGCCGTAGTGCGCTCTCTGGGCGTCTGCTCCGTGCACAACGACGGATTTATTATGAACAACCGATTCGACGTGTTATTGACCCCGCCCAAGGACGTGCTGAACGTTTTGCTGTACGACGCATCAAATCGCGAGCTCGTGCTGGATACTGTGGCGGCGTGTCTGACCAAGCGTTCTGCTGTGGAAGCCGCTGCACAATACGGAGCTCATAAAGTCGCGTGGAGACAAACGGTTTGGTGCGTCTGGCGGCGCTGATGACGGTGGAGAAGTGCTACTAGGCCAACTTCTCCGGTAAGGCTGGCGAGCACTTCAGTGCGGTTAACTCTGGCGTCGAGACGCTCGTTGAAGCCGTGATGACCGCGGTTGCAATTACGTAGCGGGAGTCCGTGTGGTCGTCCTGGCCTCGACCTGCCGTAACTTCGATGCTAAAATTTCTGGCCGCATCGTGTACAGCTTCGACGAGGACCAAGCGAAGTGCAACATGAGAATGGTTATCATCGGCCGTTGACTGAGTGGTCGTCGGATGCTGCGATTGAGGATGTTGAAGGCTGTCATCATTCAGCCCGCGTAATTTACGCATTTGCCTCAGGCGCAGAGGACAACTAGGCCGCGTCGGTCCATCAATTCATGCGTGTGATGCGCACCGGGATCGTGAAGGATACCATGAAAATTGGTTGCCTTCTGCGTATGATCACTTAAAGTATACACGTATTATATGAAACGATGCACTTATAAAATAAAAAAGAAATGACTATCCTAAGCTCCTACGTGGGCCTGCTAGATACACGACCCCGACCTAGGAGGGATTACCGCGACAATTTGGTGGACAAGCAGGGTATCTTCCCGAAGAATCTTAGGAACGTAAGCGCGGAGTGAGCCCCCCTTGGTAATAGAGCGCCAAGGCGGAGGAATAAGGAAGTGGTAGCGCTATGAGTGCCCACGGTTGGTCCGGTGAGGGACACGGCGGTGAGACAAGAGAAGAAGGCGGAGGATGACCGTCTCCATTACTACATGCATTTGAGTCGGTGCTCCAAGCCGAGACTTACAAAGAGAACAAGTGCGCACCAAGTATCTCCGTCATTGACCCGCAGGGAGGGACTCGCGTTGGGGAAAGTAGATATGTTCTCGCGGAGGCTGGAATGTCTTGTTCAGTCGACTCTGGAGACCGGAGAGACGCTGAGGAGGAAGCATTTAGCTTCGATTTGTATAGCCAAATCATCAATTACTACAGCAATTTAGCAAAGTGGTGATTGGCTACTGTACTGTCAACGATAATATTCTTAGGTCTTCGTCGCTCGATATGCAATTTTAACATTAAATTTAGCACGTACACATTACTCTGTTGTCGACTACATATGCTCTACGTAACTGGAATGCCTCAGTATTTCTACTCATACTGTCGATCCATAGGCGGGCACAGCTTCTGGATCGTCATTGCGGCTCACGACACAATCTACATGATCCCACAACCAGAGTACAAATAAGTCTGTGCTGCAAAACGATTTGTGAAACTTAACAGACTTGCTGAGTGGGCACTGACCATCTTTGTATTTGACGTCGTTTAAACATTACCTAGCCTGATTATAATGATCCGACTTCCTATAGCTCTGTAGTGACGACTACAATCATCATAGCAATAACTCCACTTGTGACTGCTTCTTGGTGCTATGGAGTCGTCATTGCCCGCTGTATATAAACCTCAACATATCAAGTCAGATCCATGATGACGGAATCTTTATTTATGTCGGTGTAGAAGTCTTTTCTGTAAGTGCCCCGCGCATATGATAAGGGATTAACTACCAAATAGCTGGTGTGTGCTAGCCCTTCTATTGCTAGTGCTCTGCTCTTTTTATCAGTGGCTCGCATCAACGTAAACGTGTTTGTGAAATCAACTGTCTATCTTCTCCTCCGAGATGGGTGGCCTGCGCTGCTTTAGCTGCGGCAGATCAGGTCAAAATTACATAAGTAGGTAGATATTTTTTGGGTTTTTACATAAGTAGGTAACGTGGCACACGGGTAGCGTGTGCCAAGGTGTCATCATCTGATTGGTTGATAGTGAAGAGCCAGACTCATTTTTTTTTACCAATCAGGTGTATACCGGTATTTGAGTGGTTCACACGAGGCCAGGGGTAGCCCAAATAAATCAGAGTTGAATTTTACACAAGCCTAAGACTTGTTTATATCATTGCGAGCATCCTCCACACTATAGTGTAGTAACTCTCACCTCGTTACACCTGGTAGCATTTCGAAGTCCTTCCAACCACTGAGTCTACGATGAGCCAAGTTAAGGCGACCCTGGAGCTCGCTGCATCCCCCCATCTCACTCGCGTGGGGTGGAAAGCGCTTCATCGCCTCGTGGCGGTGTCCCAAGATGCGTTGTTGCATCGCTGCTGAGCTTAGCGACGCTTGACCAGCAACGTCTTGCAGCATGGAACGCATGATCACCGATGCGAATCGGCGGGTGTCAACTTCCTCGCGTCCATCCCAGAATGACGTCGTCAAGTTGGAGACGTCTACGTATTCTGGCGCCGGCGAAAATTGGCTTCCTCTAAACCGGTGATTCCGCGAGATCGACATCGCTAACGCCTCGCGACCCATCGAGGCGTCATCAGCCAAGGTGACCCTTCCTCCTCCCGGTTTGCCGGGAAGGCCAACGAATGGGCCCCTGGCAATCTGGTTGCCGACCCGAGGCTTTCCAGCTCTGAAAACGCTCCAGTGCGACTTGCGCCTCGCGTTCGAGCCCCCCTCAAGATGAGTCTGGCGTTCGTTCAGCGTTCTTCGCCCTTCAGCAAGGGGAGATGTCCATGCGCGATTACGTTCAGAAGACGCGACATCTGGCCTCATGCATCGTGACCAAGCCAATCGACATGGCCTCGCAAGTCCACGTATTCTTGTTCGTCATGCGCAAGGGTATGACTCGTTATTGTCTTACCAGAGCTGAACCCTACTCTCTCGGGGAGGCATTTGCACTCGAGATTCGCGAGGATAACATGATCGCTGCGTCTTACGCCGCAGCCATACCTGCAGAAGCCCGAGAGTCTACCCCCGACCCATAAATATCGACACCATCAACGCGTCGAGTGATCGCCGTCGCAGGACCCTACCGCGGTAGCGGTGGGCGAAGCAATCTTTCCCTCATTTTTGTAGCAGCCCAGCCTTCGAGCCCCCCCCTCCCGTGGTTCAAGCACACACCACTGCCACCACTACGCCGGGCGACTCGAGATTGAGCATCGTCAGCCTTCAGGTCACCGGTGCCCGGCGACCGCTGCGCGCGCTCCTTAACTCAGGAGTGACCAACAACTTCTTTCGCGCGTCGTGTTTGTCGGTACTACGCAAGAGCATCCGTCATGATTTTCTGAGCGCGTCAGGCGCCGCCCGACGACCTGGCCTATCTCATTTTGGGCCAGCAGCAACATCTTCGCATCCGACATGGTCTCTCTTTGGCCTGTCCCCCCAGGCCACACTTTGAGCCGATTACAAAATTTTACAGAATGGTCCACACGAAGAGCCTTTCGCACCTTTAATGATCGCATCAACTGCTCACATAACGCACTGTAGATAATTGCTGATTGCTTCCACGCTGCCGAAATCGTCTCGACTCTGACCGATTTTTGCCTTGCACAATACTGACCAACTGAGGCTGGACTTGGCGCCAAATACTTTCGGTTGTTCAACTGATGCTGACCGACTCGATCAGCAAAAAGACGGAGTAGCTTATAGTATCTCTTCTCACGGCGGTGACGAATGTGCTCGGCGGTACTACACAAACCGCGAGGAGATGGCATACGCTCGAGAACCAACTCCGTTAGCACCTTATTCTTCATTTCTTGGTCAGCACAAAAGGTAAGTGCATAATTAAACGAACTTCACTCTGTATTTAGTTAGCAGTCACAGTAAAAAAAGCCAATGAAACATCGATCGTATCTAATATTAGTCATAAAACTAAATTAGGACCTTTTAGAATTTTTTTAGTAACTAACACCGTCTCGCTGGCTATATTACGAGCTCGAACGGAATCACATTGGCGTCACTGACTGTACAGTATGGCCCCTACCGACCCAATTGGGACACCGAGCGCAGGCGTTTTTTTAACGTCTCTAGCTTGTACCTCGTGGGACCAGCTCGCCCGTGATAATACCGATGATAGCTTTTGAGCGACCGGATATCCTTTACCGCGATTCAAGATCTGCCAATTGAAGTGTTAGCTCTGTTGGGCTCATCGATCCTGCCTCGATCTCAGCAGCTTTGAGCTTTGACCTGATCCAAAATTTGATCTTATTTACACTAAGGGTGCCTGATCACCACCAGTCTTTCCAAAGAAGACGTTGCGCTTCTTGATGTTATTTTTTTCTTTTTCGTTTTAGCAAAATTAAGGTTTTGCTAATACATGATTGCCTGAGATTGCATGGAATGTTGCGTTTACTATTTTCTTTGCTTATACAGACGTAACCGAGCGGGTTATTTTTTAGCCTCAGCTTCACACCGATAATTCATTTGTATCTCAGTGTGGTATGCTTGAAGCGTCCAAGTTATCAACACAGTATGGGTACCATCGATTTTTGTCCTAAAACAAAATGGAACAAGCTACGTTCTTAGCAAAATAAAAATATAGCTTATTCGCCTGAAATTGTACCTGTAAAGTATGATTTTACGAGTGATACATAATCTAACTCATACTTGCTCTTGAGTTTCATGACGAGCTCAGCTACGGACCACACGACGCTGTGAGTAACGTGAAATACATGTAGAGATAAAGGAGTTCAAGACACTGTGTAGTCTTTGACGTACCCCTAACAGAGGAAACGATGCTAAACATATCATTTGGGCCGAGGTGCTGGTCTTTGTCGGCGAGTTGACGAGCACTTTACTGTTTATATAAACTCACTGGCGTTCAGCTGGCTACGCAGCTTTAGTTATGCTTGCACGATGGTGCAGGATGACAACCAATTCAACTGGTTTCGCAACTTTGAAAATCCGTTGTGGCAAACATCGCTGGTTTGCACAACTTTGCTTGGTTGGCGTAATGTTGCAGGACGACAATCTTTTCACGGCCTGGCACACTTCTTAGCGTTATTTACCCTTTCCCATTTTTTTCACATATTGATGTGCAAAATTGATCGTTTTTAATGTTGATGCACTTGAAGTATGATGTAGCTCGACGTACGTTTCCACATACAATCATATGTGGGAGTTGTGAGCCTGACCATTTTAATTTGGTACGCGATTCTAGAAAAAAAGACCTCGAGATGTGTAGTAAAACTGTGCTTGGATTGTTGTAGCACTGCACCTTACTACAATCAGGCCTGCGGATTTGGCTCGTATGGTTCTGATTATGTGCCACACTTCGAAGTAAAAGTTAAATGAAATAAAACAATTTGAACGACATTGTAATTGAACATAGTGCACGTCTGTACATAAAAAAATATTAGTAATTTTGCGCAGCGATAGTAAATAAATGAGTAAGGAGGAGAACATTTTTAAAGTAAGTCATAAGTATTGTATTGTGGTCTAAAACTGGTCTAATACAATTGTACATTCTTTTGGAGGTTATACATGTATCAGCCATGGATGATTGGCGGTTAGAGCCTTTGCAGCATGGTGCACCGTGTACTGCACAGTCTTGATAAAGCAGATACTATTGACACAAGGGAGGGGAATGGGTGTCAGGAGACTGCAAATTTCCAAAAGTGGAGAATTTGGCGTAGATTCTATCACCCTCCTAAACCCGAACCCATACAGTACCTTCCTGCGCATTAACCCTGAAGGGCCGAGCGAGATTTAGCCATGCTTGGTCCTGGGCTTAAGCCCGCGTGCTTTGCACGCGGATCTTAAACCAGAGGCATGGATTCGTGTAGCCGAGCGAGTCGGCTTTCACCCCCTCCTCTCTATTTCGTACTTTATAGGGAAACCCGTTGGCCAAATAACAATCCCAGAGGCAAGGTGGTAAGAGATTAGTCACGATTCGCTCGCGACTCAGGAACACTAGAGAAATCGTAATCTGCAGCAATTCATGGCTTACGGTTATCGGGAAAACGTGGACGGAGAGGTAATCCAGAACCAATTTCTAGTTGGAAATGACGAAATACGTATGTAACATGTTTACGTGCCCCCTCTACTGATAAAAGACATGCTTGCAATTTCAGTATTAGCATACGTGTATAGCGACAGTTAAAGAATAACCAGTGAGTCTAAATAGAGAGCTTGCAGAATTTACGACAAACACAGCTTAGAGACATAATCACCACCAACGTGATGTCCATATGCCCCTGCGAGCTTGCTGTTGTCCATATGCCATACCATGTAGCGCCAGTATCACGATATAAAATCGAATTCATTGATGCTTCAAAACCTTTTTACCAACTAAATGTTCTTAGACTTAGACGCGTGCCTACGCGGGATGGACGTGCGAGAAAACCAATTCTGCTTTCATCACATCTACAATACATGTTGCTGCACATTTTCAACTTGTACTAATTTTTTAAACCATAGGCATAAACGTTTTACGCAAAATGCAAACTTTACAATCTTCAGCTGCACACCGATACAGTCAACTACTAAAAAAACAGTTTCTGTCATTTTTCCACTGTATCACTCTGAATCGATTCCTCACTTTCCAATTTTCCCGCCCCCCCAAAGAACGAGCATGTCCTCCTGCTTTGTGTTGACCATCTTCTTTTTTGGCATTGGTCTGTGCTTCGCCAGTCAGCTCACGGACCCCGGTCACACCAGCTTCGGTGCTCTCATTGAGACACGTCTCCTCATTGGAACCAAGAGCTCAATAAAATCAAGGAGATTCTTAAGACCCCACGACACGCCTAAGCAAAAAAATAATATCGGCAGCGACAACAAGATCGAGGGGGAAAGAGCTGGAGTTCCTGGAATGACAAAAATCGAAGAACTAGTCCCTAAGCTTGCTTTGAAGCTGGAGATAGACCCAACAAAGGTTTTTAAGAATGTACACGTTGTGAAATCTGGTGCTAAGCTAGATGGCAACAGAAGTTTTCTTGTCTGGTTTCTGTACGTGAAGCAGTACCGAATTAAACGAGGAGGCGACTTTTTTTATGGCGACGACGTTCTGTTAGACTTACTGAGGAAAACGAAATCGGAAGAAGAACTGGTGCGACTATTTCAATCGCTTCGGCAAAATCCAGCCTTCAAGGACATCGCAGAGAAGATGAAGATCGACATGGTTTTGAGCTCTGCGTCTAGCCACAGACTAGTAAATGCAGCGTGGCTGAATTCCCGAGAAACCCCCGAAGAGGTTTTTAAAATATTGCGGCTGAAAAATGGATGATCAACTACAAGATTACCCCAAAAAGAATGGTCGATGATTTTTCTGGCCTTGCGGCTACAATTGTGTCCGGAAACCTACCGAAGACTGACCCCAGATATCGCAACATGGAAGCTTACACCATTTATTACTCAGAACACCGAGGTGGGTCAGATTTGTCGGGTAATGTGAAAACGTTGTTTGCCAATAGCAATCCCTACGCTGCAATTGTTGCCGCATCGAAAGCTTAGGGTGTTGAATTAACTGTACTTCTAGCTTAACGAACGTAGAATACTGTCACGATATTCTACTATTACCAATTGGCGACCACACACATTTCTACTCGATTTCTACTAGTAATTTCGCGTCGTGCCATCGGCAGCTTGATTATTAAAAGAAGCTCTTCAAGAAGATTGTCCAAATCGGATCGTTGCAATTAATAGTGCTTACCTGAACTTACTTAAACCCTCTAAGCCGTGAAATTCAACTACTACAGTACTTTAGTAAGACCAGACTGTTCTCTTGTGAGCCAGCGAAAGACGCATGACCTATTTTTTTCAACAAAAGTTTGGACGAGAAGGAAAATATCTTACCGGTAACCGACTTGAACTTGAGTTTGCGAGTTCGGCCTTAGTTCTCGGAAAAGTGTATTGAAAACACTTCGTACGTACGACATAGCCATGGCATTTGATATGTGTAAGAAGCAGTCTTTCCACTTGTGGATAGGCGTATAAGTTTTCACTTTGCGATTAGCAGGGAGATTATAAACAATTTCCACAGTCTTTAGGGGCCACACGAACAAATACATTAATGAGAGCTTAGGCAATGGCCATCAGCTCTATCCGAAAAAGGACGAGGAGAGGCGGGTATTTCTTGGCTGCTTGCTGCTTGTTCTTCCAAATACGAAGTGAGGGAACACGCCGCGTGTGGCCAGCAGCAAGCAGGGAAAGAGTATATACCGGTTGGTCGGCGGTATACCGGTACTAATACTATTGTGGAAAACCTTTCCACAGTCTTTAGGGGTCACACGAACAAATACATTAATGAGAGCTTATGCAATGACCATCAGCTCTATCCGAAAAGGGACGAGGAGAGCGGTGCCCCCTTTAATGGTCATGCATTCGGCTCCACTAATAAAATGTATAATCCCCCGATGGACCTGCCACCATGTTTGTCGAGAGCGTGGCGATGGACTCTATGCAGAGCCTGGTATATGTCTTGAACGCGTCGGAGACCCAGCGACCGTGGAGCTGGATTGTGAGTGCATCCGTGCCGGATCAGTACATGTACTAAGATCCACCGGCACGCAGGGAATGAGAGCTGAGCCGGCGAGGGTCCTGGCCGGTGCGAGCGGCAGCGCGTTTGATGGCTCCGGACACGTCACAGGCTGGTCGGCCCCCACGCGAGATGTACACAGCGGCTGGAATGTTTGAGGGGAGGGTCATCCTAGCTTGAAGGAGAATGAGCGCTCCGAACACGGGGCACAAAAATTGATGGCCAGAGCGAGATAACATTCTTGTCGTTGAAGCCCCATCTTGATTTGTCTTGGATCCGGTCAGGCGAATCCAAACGGACTGAGTCGTCTGTGACAGGCGCTGAGTCGGGTATCCTGTGGTATCCACAACCACGATGTCTTGAGCTCGGAGCGCGAACCACTTGAAGGATCCTCCAAGAATGGTTACGATCTCTGATCGTCTCAGAAGAAAGAAGAACGCCAAGCACACTACCCCCCATAGGGCTTGGTCACGGGGATGATCCATGGCCAAGCCGCGAAAGCAGGCTTCTAATAAGTCGACTGACATCGGTCCCTTGCGACGTCACGGTGTGTCGAGACGGCTTGTTCCCTTGAGAAGCATGCGGACGTGCGGGTGTTCAAGCGGAAACACTTATCCTCAGGCTGCAAAGAAATGGCAAACACCATGAAGCACCGCCATGATGGCGTCGCTCCGGATAGGGCCACCAGACTCGAAGCCAAACTGAAATCCATGTAAAACGAAGTCTCAAATATGCTGCACCTTGTCAGTTATGGCCATGTCATGAAGCCAAGACGAAATTCCTCGACGCGAAGCTCACCTTCTCCACCTGTTCAAGGCTCGGTTGTACTGGTCAAACGTGGAGACGGCAACGGCGTGCGCACGGAGATATGCTGCCAGATACTGGTCAGGCCTTGGATGTCCGCCGACGAGGCTACCTGTGACCACCCAGGTGTTAGCGAAGCAAACAGAGCGGAAATGGTGTAAGCGGGATAGCGGGAGCCGGCGTCAGCGCGAGTATTTTCTGATCCGGCGATGTGTGATGCAGAAAACCGAAGCCGGTATGATGTTTTACACCAGCTTAGCAGGCGGATAATGACTTGAGCCCTGGGGTTGCACGAGGCCAGCTTGTTTTGCCATGCGACAGCAGATGTATTGTCGATACGGAAATGCACATGCCACGGCCTGCTGTCGATAGGACAGTCCGTGGACCATCGCTCTCCCCAAGCGTGCACTGCGACGGCACAAGAAAGGGGCTCGCGAAAGTTGATGTCGAATCCGTTGCCCGCTCCAGTTTTGAATTCCGCTATCAGCTTTCGCTCGGATGGAGTAAATACGTAGGTCAGCGCAGTCTTTGCGTGTACGTCAAGAGCACACAACCCGAAATCCGACGCGTCCGTTTCAACCACAACATCTGGAGGTGGGAGGCCGTTGAAGTATTCCAGAGATACGCCGTTCAGCTGAGGGCTGTGCAGGATAAGCCACCACCAGAGCAAGTCTTCCCGCATTGCGTCTGGCACGGCGATTCACTGAAATCGACGGAGCTGGGCCTCGCAGTGGCGGGGACGCTGTAGGAACGGTCGTGCGGCCCGAATGCAGGTCGCTACATGACGTAAGCTACCCATTAACGACTGATACCCTTTTCGGGTCAGTGGCGAGGGGCAGCAAGCAGATGCGACAATCTTGCGTGCCTTATCGATCTCGGAAACGGGTAGTCCGACCACTTCATCGACGGAATCGAACTCAAATCCGAGAACGCGCTGGCGTGTCTTCCACTCAGTGAACTTCTCAGTGTTTATGGCGTCAGCGCCAAGAATGGCCACCATGGCGTAGCGGATGGAACGGTCCATGTCGGAGCACGTCATCCTACGTCCGGAGCTACGTTGATATGGTCATCCACCCAGTGATAGTTAAAGAAACCGTCCGGGAAAGTTGCGTTCGTATGACAGCCATGAACGTGGGAAATCGCTCCGCCGATGATCTCGTAGAATCCAGGAGAGCCTGTCCATCCGAAAGGCGCGGACAGCTCGATCACCAGTGCGTTCTCCTCCTCGATCATCCCGGCAAACAGGTAGATACTGTTGCTGTGTATGCAAATGATGCGGAAGGCCGTAGCCACGTCGCCCTCCATCACGTATACTGGTACACCGGGGAATGTTAGCTTCGTTTTCCAAATCTCCGGGGCTACTGCATCGCAATGGACGTAATCAGGCTTGGTAATTGTAACGGGGTTACATGGTGTGGAGCACACAGGGGTACGAAGTACCCGGAGAGTTAACAAACTCTCAGTACATAAGTTGGAGAACTAACAAGGTCTCTCAGTACGTTGGCTGAAAGCCACACGTTATGCATTTGATTAGGTTTAACTATGCTAGATAGTTAAAGAGATACATTTACCCCTAGGCGGCTTGGCCGCAATAATAGTAAATAAAACACTTCTGGTTTTGAAGCATAAAAGTTAAGGTGTTAACTTTGAGCCCTGGTCTTGGGCTGTAAGTGTCCTTTGGATAAGGAACTTAGTATTAGTGACTCTTTGAGTCGAACGTCTTCCTCTGACGCTAAAGCTACGGCAGCCCCGCTGCAGTAATGCTGTCTTGATCAGTGCAATCGTTGATCGATGTTCCTTCAGGGTATGGCAGATCGTGGATCGTACGGCCGGAAACCTTAGTGTCCTCGCTGCCCTTGTCTACGACGCCGAAGGGGCTAATGATTATATCTGGACACTGCTTCAGAAGATCCATGTCGAGGGCCAGGACCTCCAAGCATCTTGTTCTTTTCTGATATTCTTGCGCAGGATGTTGATCCTGTCCCGAGCAGAACCATGATTCACTAAACGAACAGACTGCCGAGGCGGCGTTTCTTTAAGCTGAACTTCGACGCCTTCTCGAGCAATCTCCTGCACCTGCGCCAAGTGCTTGTATTCTCTGCATATGCCGCCAAGAACCGCTGGGACCAGATTCTTGCTCGGGCAATAACCCCGCTCCGTTTGTCCCCGAACCAGCTCCACGAACGCCGGTAGCAGTAACGCTGAACGGCGTGCGAGCTCCGATAGAGAGCGTTGCAATGGCTTATTAAGCAAGTAAACAGGTTTATCAGTGCCTTCTTGCGTTGTAGGGAAATCAGTCGCTGGTAGCTTTATACCGAAGCTGTCCATAACCTTCCCGAGCATAGCCAATTGAACTTCTCGGTTCAGGTCCCGTCACCGGCGTGCAGTTGGTCCGCGTTTTGACTTGAGACTACAGGGCGACGTGGGGTTCTTCCGATCCGAAGTATGTTTCCTGTGCCATCTCTTTTAGCCGAGTATACCTTAGCTGGATTTGCTTGACGTGTACCCGACGTCGAAGGCATGCGTGCAGATACATCGGGATTCATCAGGACTTTGACCTTGGTAGACTTCGTGTTGTCGCATCGGTCGTTTTGTCGAATGAACACGCTAGTGTTCAGATCGACTGACCTGGATGGGCTGCCCCCCGGAGGACGTGTATACTTGGATGGCTGTATAGACGACATGGACTGTATAGTCAAGGGAGGCTGCATACCCGTAGGTGACTGTATAGTCGACCCGGACTGTATAGTCAAGGGAGGCTGTATAGCCGTGGGTGACTGTATGGTCGACCCGGACTGTAAAGTCAGAGGAAACTGTATAGCCGAATACGTCACTTGTCTCGATCCACCGCAGGTTAGGGTGAACCTGGAAGGCGAGGAACCCGGTACATCGGCAGGTGAGGAGAGGATTTCATTAGCGAAACGGAGGCGTACCGGAGACAATTC